TGTAGAAGTGGAGGAAGGGAGTAGCAGACAGAGCAGACAGAGGGGAAGCGGAGAGGCAGGAGCGGGAGGGATGGATAGAAGAGAGAGACGAGTTGCGAAGTGAAAAAACGTCGAAAGAGAGGGTGGAGGGGGAGGGGGTGGAAAGAATGGTTGCGAGTGGGGGATGATAGCAAGCGTGGAGAGTAGAAGTAGAATCGCGGACCGAGACAGATACTACTCGGGCAGGGGCAGGAAGAAAAGGGTCCTGAGGAGAGAGGAGAACAGGAAAGAGAGAAGGAGAGAGAGAGAGAGAGAGAGAGAGGAAAGGCTGAAAAAGGGACGGAGAGGCAGTGTAGCGCTACCCTGCGCGCCGTTTTCAAGAGCACGAACGCTCGTAATACCGCTGAAACTGCCACAGTCCCTCTTTCGATGACTCGCGTTCCGCCGCGTTGGCGAAAAATTTTCATAACTAACCGATCTACCGAATCGTTCGCGAATTTCTCCCTCTCCGTCCTTCCTTTCTTCCTTCTTCCCTCGCGAGAAGATACACCTTTGCGTACACCTTCTCGCGAAATGAAGATGCACGCAAATTCTATCTATCTGTCTCTGTCTCGTAAAATACTTGATGCGCTACTATTCGTTCAACTAGTCGTCCGTTCAATGTGAAATTTTAACGCATTTTTTTGTTTGCTTCTCTCTTTTTTTTTTCTTTTCTTTTTCCTTCCAAATACACACCCACCCAGAAAGAAATCATCCAAATTTCCCAAACGTTTCCCCCTCGCTTTACCTCAAGTTCCACACTCTAATTTCTAGGAGCAATTGTATTTTTTGTTTCTTTTCTTTTTATCTAACCTTCCGGCTCTTTTGCTCTTCTCTCTGCTCGGAGGTACGCTAGATCGACGAAAATTCACAGAACTGTTGTTTGTTCCAGGTCGGGGGCGATCAATGCCCGATGGCGTGGACTGGAACGCAACGCTGGAGAAATCCTGCTCCAGAGTAAGTAGGACTCTTTGTCGTGAACAAACGACCGAAAACAGAGAGAGACTCGCGTTTCGTTTCTCGTTCGGAGCAACTATATGCAACTATATGTTTCGAATGACAGCCGCTATTCGATATATCTACGTATATACTGTGAAACAAGGAAAGAAGAGACATTTCTGCAACAACTAGAAAACAAAGAGCTTTAAAGTCGAATCTCTTTCTTTCTTTCTTTCTTTCT